CCATTTGACCTCAGAACTGAAGAAGCTTCTCGGATGAGAGGTGAAACGTCTTCAAGCAACTTAAAGAAGTCCAGACGCTTTTCTTTGCAAGCTCCTTAGACTACGATGACCTGGATGACTGAGAACCTTCACAGACATATGTGACAATTGAAACTTTGTAGCTGACCTAGTGTTACGTCTTTTAACGGGGCTGTGGAGGCCTTTGACATTATAACTTATGACTTTAAGCAAATCCATCTTAACTCTTCAGAGTGAAGTTTGACAGATATTTAAGAGCATAAGTAAGTTTGAACTCCATGATGACCCAAGGATTTTGCTTAACATAGGACAAAACAAAAGGAACCATCAAACCAACAAACCAAAAACGAATATATAAAGCACCTTGTACAAGTTTTTTACCCATCAAATGATCCCTGGGAGAGCAAGGGACCTGAGCGGGTCAGACAACAACAAGACAAAAAGTCAACAAGTCCTCGAATGCAGCTAACTCAAGTTTAGATGTCTTCATATGAAATGATGAACTGAAGTTCGGGGAGAATTGCTGCGAGCAGTCTCAGTGCAACCAACAGGTCCCAGTGCTGTCTGCTAGAACAATAGTGGAACTCAGGCCTGCACAATTGCAACTAAGCTCTGTGATGTAGCTTACTGAAGTAAAGAACTCCGAGTTACCTTCCACCTTGGTCCAGGAGATAAGACCATCATAGTTCACCACCTGCTGGAGAAAGTATGTTTTCCTTGACATAATCCATGGCTTTGGCAGCATCCACAAACTCTTTTTCAACGTTGTTGTAAGAGACAGGAAATCTGGCAGGGTACAGGATGTGGACTCCCAGTCTATCGTGGAGTATCTTCCTCACGCAGTGAAAGCTGCCCTGACTTTCGCCACCCTGCCGTGTAGTCGGGGAATATGGCGATTGGGTTTCCGTTGAAGAGTAGTTTACCTCTGCGCACACTCCTGAGGATGTCCACGGCATCTCCTTTGCTGTTTGATTTAGCAATGATAACTTGTGGGGTATCCCCGTGTCTCCGTTGAGTCAGACTACGATGAAATCTTTCCACGCGGACTTCCCTGTCAAGCCAAAACACCTCTTTGAGGAGCGCTGAGACCGCCTCCGGTGAGCTGGATCCCTGGGTTTCAGCCACACCGGTGGCTCGGCTTGGATAGCGGTAGTTTTGCTATTGATTTCTGCCGTGCTCTCATTGCCTACAACATGCTGGCTCATTATGATGATGGGACTTTCAGATGAATACAAGAAGCTAATAGAAGGGCTGCACGGTGGTGCAGTGATTAACCTCACAGCAAGAAGGTCCTGGGTTTGAATACACCATCTGAGGGTGCATGTGATTATTAAAGTGGGACATCTGTCAGAATCACTGTACTGGGTTGACTTTCACAGATGCTCATTTCTGTTGTGGCCACAAGGTGGCAGTAATTTACTGTCCTGTACATCACTGATGACTGAGGATCTTCTAGACCCAGCAGTCTTAGCTAATTATAGGCCAATCTCCAACCTTCCTTTATATCAAACATCCTTGAAAGAGTAGTTGTCAAACAGCTAACAGATCATCTGCAGAGGTTTATTTGAAGAGTTTCAGTCAGGTTTCAGAGCTCATCACAGCACAGAAACAGCTTTAGTGAAGGTTACAAATGATCTTCTTATGGCCTCTGACAGTGGACTCATCTCTGTGCTTGTCCTGCTAGACCTCAGTGCAGCGTTCGATACTGTCGACCATAATATCCTATTAGAGCGATTAGAACATGCTGTAGGTATTACAGGTACATTTAGGATAAATATACACTTTGCTCAAAACATTTGTAATTTTGTTACCCATAAATTTGCATAATTATGATTAAAAAGCTGTACAGTGATGCACATGTCTGAGAGCGGCACAGAGCTCTGCATAGTCCTGTTCAGTACTGATGGAAGCAGATTTATAGTTATTGTTGTGTTGTTGGTGTCCCTGCAGTCTCATCGTTTTGTGTATTTTTGATCTGAACATTCAACACACAATAATGCAAATTTCCAATTCCTGTTCTTCTTCCTGTGAAACATCACTTACACGACATAAAACCATCTAAATCCACAGGGTCTCACTCCAAAGGTGGATTCTCTGGCATCGGTGGAGATCCGGCGTCTACAGGAGCAGAACAGCGCCCTGCGTGCTGTGGTTACCCAGATGAGAAAGGACATGGAAGGTCTCGGCCATCTCCTAGTCTTACCTAATGCTGAGGCACCAGTGCAACCTCCGTATCAGGAATCTTCAGCCTCCAAAGGCAACACAGCAGGTGCTGTCTGGCTCTGTATACAAACCTTGATGAGTTTCTGCATCACTGTGACAAACTATACACGCAAACCCTTTCAGTGGGCTCCACATGCTAAGATAGATTTGACCCAGTGACCCACATCACTGCTGCTGATTCTTCTGTTAAACATGCTTTTGTTGAGCTTACAGCCACAGACACTCTGCTCATCGCATGTAAGAAAGAAAAGCTTAGAATGATCATGAACTTGTTTTCTGTTTTTCATTTTAATGTATAAAATAATAGCTTTGGATAATCTGAGTGTTAAGCTAAACTTTAACACTCCTTCTCCTTCTCTGTAAAACTGGACTCAGACTCCCGTCAGCCTCTGGAGCAGGAGGTGCACCTGTCAGGTAAGCACCTCGAGGAGCAGCGAGGAGGTGTCACAGGACTGTCAGGCCTGGCTTCAGCCATGGAGGACCCACAACACATCGATCCAGGCAGATCACAGCCTGAAAATCAAGCTGGTATTATTCATACTGTTAATTTCCTCCATATAACCCCAAAACATTACGTTAGCTAACACAAACACTGTAAGTAGATGATAGAGAGGAACATAAGGCGTTAAGCAGCAGAGGTGTTTGTGGCTGTTGAACATGTTCATCTTCCACAGTCACTGAAACCTGTATCTTTGACGTTTGTTGGTCACATTGTCTCCCTCATATCACTGCATCATATTTGTGCCGTGGGTCCTCAGGTGGTTCGTGTCTGGATGAACGTGGCAGGTGCCCCGCTGTGACACGTGTGGAGTCAGCTTCCAATGACATCACACAGCAGGTACTACAGGAGGTTTATTGATCTGTCAGTGGAGGTGGAGCCACTGATCTGCTTAACCCTACCTATCACTGTTAGAAAGCACAAAATGGTTTCATCATCATCTTTTCAGAGGACACTGGTGCAGCAGCTCCAAGGAGACAGCAAGTATGTGAAACCAGCTCTGATGTGTGGCGTGTTTAAGAGCGTCCATCCTGCTAAAAATGACCCCCAGCTCCTTCGCGTCAGGCTGAAGCAGGCAGCGTCCTGCATCGCCCGTTTGAGCAGAGAGAAACAGCAGCTGATAGCGCTGGGCAACCGCCTCCGTGCCCAGATCGCCGCCGACGGACGGCAGGGTAGAGTTACACACCCGTCACTGCACACCCCGGTACAGCACAGCAGGGTGGCTGTGCTGGGAGGCTGCAGCCCAGCCCAGTTTACTGGAAGCATAAATGAATTTAAGGACAAACTGAGACGCTGGCAGTACAAAATCAAACTGGACCTGCACAGTCACACTTTTCCTCTTAAGAATAGTCGGATGGTGTGCCGCTATGAATTGTGGGGATTATTTACTCTCCTGTTGTAAAGAATGCTCCGGTTAATTGTATGCTAAAGGAGGTAATAAAGGACACAATGAAGTTTCCTTTAGAGAAGGAATGTGATTCCAGCACCTGTGAGTTCAGATACTGCAGGTGAAATCACACAGTTAGGAACAGCACGTACCTGATCGTCATCATCTCAGATCAGTCTGACATCACTCCACCTGACCAGTTAGCCTTCTTTTATTCAGTTCCTGTTGGCACTGACGTGGGCTTTCCTGCTGTTTCCTCCTTTTAGGAATGTAAAACAGCGACTCAGGGCCTTTTTGAGGAGACAGCAAACGACAGCAAAAGCATTTAGAGTTCCAGGATTGTGGAGTCACACGTATATCAAATGTTCTGCAGCGACTGCATGAGAACGTTTTATTACTGGATGGATTCAGACACAGCAGTACTGTGTGGGGCTGCAGTGGGAAAAGTTACATTAAAAGAAAAGTGATTCAGACTCTACGCGTATGGACTATTATTAGCATGCATGTGTGGTGTTTGTTTCCACAGGTGGATGATATATTCTGTGGTGTTTACAGACAGACTCATGAAAAATGAAGCAGTCAGAGGTCCTTAAATATCTCTGTGTGTCCAACAGCACCGGGGGGGCTGGAGAAGGACACCCCCACAGAGAAACTAGGAGACCACCATGGCCGCCTTTCTGCTGTGGAACAGCTGCAGTACCAGCTCACCACTCAGGTATCTGCTCAACAACGTCCTCGTCCTCTTCTCCAGCAGGTTTACAGAGGTTTGAATGTGTTACTTTGTTGTAGATGTCATTTGAAATGGATACAAATGCCGTGGTCTCCATCCCTCAGTATCACACTGACACATGAGTGCAGGCGGCACTTTGTGCAAATGTGTTCAAATTAAAAATCTGACGTTTTTACTTGAGGGGAAAGTATGTGCTTTACTTTAATAAGAACACGTCCGTGTCTGTGCTGCACCGGATACAGTGTTGGTGTGTTTGTGCCATCAGGAGCTGCAATATGCACTGATGCAGAGAGCTTCTGCTGCTGCTGAACAGCACATCCCACCAACAAAGAGCCAGGCTTTCTTCAAAGGGACTGCAAACACTTGCCATGGGCTCAAACCCAGAGACACGTCTGAGGTGAGAGCCTTGAAGAATGCATTAATGCACTGCCAAGCCCAGCTGGCCTGTTCACTCCCTGCCTGGATGGCTGTGTTCTCCTCCAACATGCTTGTTATGTTGAGTGGTGTTCCTAAATGGCCTGTGGTTAAATGTGTGGGTTCAGTAACACTAGAAAAGTGCTGCATACTGTAAATGCAAGTACACATTTGTGTGTATATATTAATGAAGTAGTAAACATCAGAAGAGTAAATCTGTGATTCGCACAGCTGTAGTGTAAAATAACTCTTCCTCTTCTTTAGACACGCTCACAGCTGCACTTGTCCAGGACTGTGTCGCATGAATCGCTGTGCTCATTAACGATGCTGTGGGACACTCTGGATCGTGGACTTACGGACTCAGAAGGTATCCACATCCTCCCCACGATGCGCTGTACTCGCAGTCTTTGCACATCACTGTAGTGTAGTCAGAGCACTGAGTGTCAGTTTGTAGCAGAAGACAAAACAAGTTCACAGCCAGTACATCAGCATCACAAACATTCATTTCATCTCATTTTGTATCTAGTTTGTGATCATAAGTACAGTTACTCTATGTTACTGGAATAAAACAAACTCTGCTCCCAGTGTGAATCAGCGACAGATCAGCTGTTGCTCAACGTGTGGCCTCGTCTCTGTCAGCGCTCCAGGGAACAATTTCCCAACCAGATAAAGCTGACTTGCAGTGATTGGCATCATAGCAGTCAATAATTGTGAAACCAGAAAAACAAAGCACAAAGTTTGAATGATGTGTTGATAAAGGATGAGTTAGAGATGTCTGTGATAGCTGTTAAAGCAACAGTGCTGCTTTCTTGTGTACAGTTCCACTGTGGGAGAAACGTGAGTCTATCTTCTGTCTTTACCGACATCCAACAGTGAACTCTGAGACTGATGACTTATTTAATTATTTATTTATTTAGGACAGTGCATGTTAATGAACATAAATGTAAAAAAAAATAAAAATTACATGAATGTAAACATGCCAGATTATAGCCAAAGGCTAATTTCCATCTGTTGTCCTTAAACATAAAAAAATAGACATAATAAACTTATTTGAGCCAATATTTCTGGGTGGTTCAGCAGGTAGAGGAGGTCATGATGACCAGGAAGGTACAGACACATCGAGCTACAGACCATCTCTAACTCGGACCACAGCCACAAATCTTCTTGTCCATCCAGCAGGTCGTCTCCAGTCTTCATGTGAAATATCGTTGGGCAACAGGCTGGGCCCAAGTTACTCCGTGAATGTTAGATAGAAAGTACTTAAAGTGCTTGTGTGGATGGATGAGATTGCAGAAAGCACTGAGTGCTCAGTTACAGCAGAACAGTGCTAAATAAGAACGCGTCCACTTACCGTTTATTTCCTTCTGTTCAGCCCTGACAGCTCATTTCAGTGATGATGATGAATGTCTGCCTTTGTTGTCACTGTCATGGGGATGTGCTTCGTGAGTACAGACGTGAGGTCTCGCGTCGTTTTGGGGATGAGAATGATGGTGGAGGGCGTCAGACTGGTGGGAATGGCAGCACGAGTCAGGGAGAGGTTGAACTATGTACTGTTGTTGTTGTTTGTCAACAGAACTGCATAAAAACCAGCCACAGAATCCTTTTATTCATTTTAGGCATTATGTGGTACATATATATGGGAAGCATCACTTTAGCTGAGCTGAGCACACACGTCATAAATACACTTGTAGCATCTGTAACCAAACCAGGTAATGAACAGCTGGTTGAAACTCGTGGGAGTTATGATGTCTTTGAACAGTTTATAGACATAGACATGGCGCGCATTAATAGGCTGCACTGGACCAACCTGCACCGACACGTCACTGCAGCGAATCGCAGTGACCTGTGCTGCTGTTAGTGTGTTTTTGGATCTGAATTCAACAAATGAAACAGCTGTAAGTCAACTTCTTTTGTCTCTCCAAAAGGTGAACGTGGGCTCAGGAGCAGACAGTCTGGTGGCTCTGGAGTCCAGATGATGGTGCATGGTAGTGGTGTGATTCCCAGCCAGCCCCAGACTGAGGTCCAGCAAAGCAGGAGGCAGTCTAAAACACTGCCAAGCACTACCAAGACCAACAGACCTGCAGTCCCTGCCAGGATCAGCAAGATCAGAAACTACAATGTTAAAGACTGAGATGGATGTTGAGGACAAGCCCAGACCAGAGCTCCCAGCAGCTGGCACACTGGGAGTAACACACGAGCATCACGGACAACACAACAAAGAGAGAAGAGTGGGACAAGGAAGGGAACGAGACTCTGATGGATGTAATGAAGACAATCAGACAGAAAACAACAGCAAACACACACCAGCAAAGGAAGAAACAGGCCACAAACACAAGAACACTCACAGTAAACATGAACACAAAGACAAAAACACTGCAGGACAGAGACAATCGAGACAGAGACAGGACGGATAAGAAACACTCAAGGGACCAAAAACCTGAAACTGGAGCTGAACCACACAGTCCATCAAACTGAGCAGGAAGCAGAACTCGAATAACACAACAGGACAACTATGACTGACCGACAATGAAGCTATACAACAAACAGGTTACTGGATAAGATGTGATTGTTTTCATGCACATATGCACCGCAGCAGAAGGAGAAAACAAACCCTGACCAGCAAAAACCTGAACAGAAATCAAACGTGTTGAACCCACGTGAGAGTTTCAGGGAGGAATATTCAAGATTTTAAGGAGCGTTACACCTTTATTGCTGCGCTCTCACACACTCTGTCAGATCCAATAACTGAAGAAACTACAGAGACACAGAACACACAGGAGCATACAGCACGAGGCCTTAAACACACACGAGGGGACGAGGCAGAGTGGACACCACGGGGGACACAGCTGGACAGAGTCACAGTAAGGGACTGTCAAAATAAAACAGGAAACGTAACACTGACACAGACACAAAGACGGACGAACCATGGACAAAAAGGTAAAGACACATGGAGACACGTGGAGGAAACTAATAAACCTGAAGCTAAACTAGAAACCAACCTGAGGAGCATGAGGAAGGAACACTGATCAGTGGGTTAGAACTCCAACATAAATTCACGTTCTCGTGAATAAATCCTTTCTAAAGTTAAAATGTGTCCCCATCATTGTTCCAGTCTTGTTGTCCTTCAGTACATCTTCATGTCCTTCTAGTGGGAGGTTTCAGGTTTTGTCCTGTCGTGTGTAATTCTCTCTGGTGTTCATCCGTCTCTGTGCACACGAGGACAGTCGCACACAAACACTGTTGCAGCAGACCACGGTGGCTTCCACGCGAGCAGCTTCAAAACATGCTTCATCCCCGAGAAAGTATCTGCTTTACCACAGAGATCAGCTGGGTCATCAGCGTACACTGTGGGTGTGTCTGCGACAGAAACAATCACTGACAGGTTTGCATGTAAATAAAGCAACTTGCTTTGGTGAACTCTAAACACTCTGTCTTCATGGTTTAACAGACACATGATCAAATCTACAGGCAGCTTCTTTCTGAAACACGAGCAGCTGCTGCTGTTTCTCCTCAGGTTCAGAAACCCACTCCTGTTACATGTTGTTGTGGAGAAACAGGAAGTGCATTTCTCCCCTGGAATAGAGATTTTATAAGTGCTGGAGACCATATTTCATATGCTCCATATGATATCAGCTGTCACCCTGCCACATTTCCTCTCACCTCTCAGTAAACCTTTGTCAGTCCGTCCTTTTATTCCTGATATTCCCAGATACCAAACAGGTGATACACACTGCTAATTTTGTACACTGACCCACTGTGTGTTGTTTGGGACTGTCCCCTTCACTTTCATTATATTATCGTAGTATCTGTGGAAAACCTGGGAAACGCTGATCTGTGAAATACAAGTGTGGGCGTGCACAAAGTGTTTCGACACGAAGTGAACCATCATCAGGACATCATGTGTGGCAGCACTGGTATAGGGACACACAGGTGAATGCTGGGTGACAGCGAGACACACCTGAACTCTGAGTGCTTTGTATCACGCTCACTGCCTGCAGCACTCACATGGATGCAGATTCAGCTTGAGCGTTTTGCCCAAGGGCACTTTGTCATGCAGCCCTGAGGATCCACAGACAGGCTTTACTGTGGGCTATGACATGAAGTTATTTCAGACAACACGAGCTGTACCTGAGCTATCATCCATCCACAGACCTACATCGTGGTGAATGCACCTATTTTTATATAGCAGTCACACACTCACACGAGCACTTTCTTCTGTTTTTTCTCACATTCACACACTCCGATGGATGTGTGAGTAAATCTTGCCTGAGGATATTTGGCAAGCAGACTGGATCAGCAGGGACCGAAGCACACGCTCCAGTGTGAGACCTGCCCTGGCTTCTGAGGCTCCAGGTGGGACACACAGGTCACGGTGTGGCTGCTTTGGTGAGCTGTGTGCTTTGTGTAGATGAGTGTGATTGTTGTGGTCCATTACAGGACACTTCACCTCAGCTGAGGAGCCAAAGTCCCGATGAGCTGGATGGAGCTGATGAGTACTGACCATAGGTGGAGCTGGAGGTCAGCAGCTCCTTACACCATCATGCGACTGAACCGTGAACTCCAGTAACCCTGACAAGTCACGCGAGCTCTCCTGGCTACGTCACAGTTGGGTCCCGCCCTTTAATCACCCTATCTCAACAGTGGCTGCAGGTCTGCAGCGATTGGACGAAGCCTCACATCCTCGCTCCGTGATTGGCCAGCTTCGCCTGTCATCCAGAAGTTGCCGGCTGCACCTTCGCATCGTCAGCTGCGGTGTAACGTTGAGCAGCTCTGCGCGTGCACGTCCCGCGGACACAGACGCTCCCTCGCCCCGTGCACGCTATCAGTACCCCCCCACCTCCCTCCGTGACCGTCGTAGGAGGATGACTAGAGTTTATCGCGTCCCATCTGCCGGCTGCTGTCGTCGCGCCGCTGCCGGTTGACCGTTAGTAACCCCGGCTCTTTTTTCTGCGCGCATCCACACAGTTGCTCCATCACTGGCTGGATCGCAGAGCCCTGCCTCTCCTCTCATTGGACTGCTGAGCCAAGCGGTTGTCAGCCCATGTGGCGTGGGCAGGCAGAGTGTGACACATTTAAGTTCATCAGAGAAAAAAGCGTGAATGAAGCGCGGAGGCTAACGGAGGCTCTCACACCCACGGCGGCTGAAGACTCGACACATGACCGAGCGTGCTGAGCGGCTCAGCCTCACGTTTTACCGGAACATCCGTCGGTTCGGCTCAGACAGGTAAGCTCGCCCGCGGCTGCTGCTCGCTGCTTATTGTGGTCCCGACCGGTGTCCAAACTCGGCATCCCCGACAATTTTTAGTTTACAAACACTTGTTATAATGACTAACTACTCCTGACATTCTTGAGATGTTAGCTCTTCATACAACGAAGTTATAGTGGGACACAAATCATATCAGGCTGATCCTGCCACGATTTGTTCCCCCTGTGTAAATCACGGACAGTCTCCCACATTACTCCTGAAACTTTAGAGGATTTAGCTCTTTATAGAGTAAAGTTACAGGAGAATAAAAATAGTTATCAGCCAAAATGTTAATGGTTTGTTAAAATAAGCCCCAAGCTCAGCTGTGTGACAGCATGGAGCTGGCATACATGATCCCAGGACCGAGCAGCACTGAGGATGAGGGACGTAGCTCATCAGCACCTGTGACAGCCCACTGCCATCAGTTATTCTGGGAGAACTCGAGAGTCCGTGGACATACACGTGTTGGAGGCCTGGGCCCTGATCAGTATGGAGGCCACGCTGGTGCTTGGGTCCAGTGAACAGCAGCACTGTTGTTACTGCAGCCCTGTGGTCACCACGGTGCTTCAGGGCTCATTGATTCTTTTTAGACTCACTCATCTGTCAGATCGCTTTAAACTACAGTCACCATCGTTCACAGCACTTCATCAGCTTCACATTCAAATGACCAGTTTAAAATGACCAGCTAAGCTAACAGGCATGTGTAGGACAGTGAGATTAAAGAATATGTTGACAAAAGAAACCAAACTCATTCCTGGAACTATTTCAGAAAGCATCGAGTCAGTGGCCGAGCCCCCTGCAGTGCAACGTGAAACTTTTTAATGACAGCAGTGTTGAAGCAACAAACTAATGTGGAGATGAAATCCAGGAACACGTTTTTCCTGTTCACGCAGCGCCTGTGGATCCACACATAGTTACAGTGTGGAGTCATGGAAGGAGCTGAGAATGTGTCATTGTTGTTCACTGTTTCACGCTCTTCCTGTGAAGATGCTGACAAGTCAGGTCCTGTTGTGGCTGCTGCAGAGCGAAGCCCTGACACAAAGGAGCAGAGTGAGGGAAGACGAGGAGGATGTGCCCTGAATAGAAATGGTCACGCCGAGCTGTGCGCACACAGTGACTTTGCAGTTTAGCAGCTAGCTCGTAGTTAGCAAATTGTCTGCATACGCTCACAATGGGGTGTAATCTGGGTCAAGATGGTGCACTGAAGGAGCCGGGCTAGATGTAATCCCAGGGCGGGACATCCTGGAGTCCAAATCCCTTCAGACTGTGTCGTGTTGTGTAACGTGGTCGCGCTGTCTTCACATTTGTAATGCCACACAAGCAAAACAGTGGCATGAGTGTGATTGTTGGTCTTTGTTGGTGCAACCTCACAGTGTGCATGTCAGAGCTGCATGTGATGCTGCGCCGGGCTCTGGCACAGCTTTACTCAGGACCTGGATGGTTTTGGAGACACAGCGGAGCTGCAGCTCTGCAGGTCGCAGTCACACGCAGCAGTGTTTTTATTGAGTCCACAAAGTTGCAAACATCAGTGTGATCAGAGAGGACACACACACACAGACACAGCAACACACACACAGACCTGTTTTTTTCTAGGTCACTGTCCGGTGCAGCGCGGAGTGCTGTATTGTTGGGATGGTTGTTGCCATGGTTACATGAATAGTGAGTCTGGCCCCAGCACCGACCACATTCATTGTTGTTAAACTGCAGAATGCTTGTCACTGATTGGCCCTCTGTGTCTGCAGTAAATAAACATGGATGAGATCGTCATAGCTGGAATATCGGGCCGCCTGCCTGAGTCCAGCAACCTGGAGGAATTCTGGGAAAACCTCATCAATGGTGTGGATATGGTAACAGAGGACAACCGGCGATGGACACCAGGTAAAAGCTTCCCTTCGGTTTCCATGTAACATATTTACTGAGCTGAGTTTCTCTTCAAAGACTAATATTTTATACCTCCTGCACTGTGCAGCAGTGTTGGTGCCTCTGCAGGCTGAGCTGAGTTTAGCTGCTTTGACATATTTGAAGGTAAAATAATGAATGTGAGTCATCAGGAACAGAGGATGGAGCAGATTTAACCAACAGCTTTTTCCCACCAGCTTGGTTTATTTACTTTAGTTGATTCATCTGATCGCTGCCAGTGTCACTTCAGTTTATTCCACTTCCTGTTAAAAAGTAAAGTTTTTTTTAATCATCATCATATGGATTTAACTTCATGGTTTCATTTTTTGTTATCCAAGTTTTACTGGTGATTCCTAACTGGTGTGATCATAAACCTGCTGTGTGCTTTTGCCTGCTTCCTGTGAGCTGCACACAGGCAGTAATAAGGGGCAGGGATAGCTCAGTAGGTAGAGTGGTGGCCCCATGATCGGAAGGTCGGGGGTTAGATTCCCCTGAACAGCTACCCTGAGGTACCCCTGAGCAAGGTACCGTCCCTACACACTGCTCCCCGGGCGCCCAATGGCTGCCCACTGCTTCACTGAGTGAATGGGTTAAATGCAGAGAGGGATTTTCCCCACGGGGACCAATAAAGTACACTTTCTTCTTCTTTCTTCTAAGCACTCAGATGTCCTCTGTCGCTCTCTGTGCTGGAAAAGGGAAACGTCCTCGTGAGGATTTTCCTCCCCTCTTTGGCTCAGTCTGGTCTCACAGCATCGTGTTTGGTGCTCAGTGTGAGCAGTGGCTGTGGACCGTGTGTGGGGTCCTGCTGCTGTAACATTGTGCTGTTTGCAGGTCTGTACGCTCTTCCAAAGAGGAACGGGAAACTCAAAGACATCAGCCACTTCGACGCAGCCTTCTTTGGAGTCCATCCCAAACAGGCCAACAGCATGGACCCACAGCTGCGCCT